TCTTTAATTGTCTTCTCAACATGTCCAAGAATGTACTAGTAACGTTGTCGTTTCAGAAGGAATAGGCACATTACCACGTTTTGGTCTTCACCATTCACCTTTCATTGAATTAGCTAATGCCTTCCGTTTTTAGCAACATCCACTCTCTCTTCTCTCCTTTCATTTATTGTTGTTGTTCAAAAGCTTATCAGAGCAGAGAAAGAAAACAAAGACACCATATTTGAGATTCAGAGAGATTCAATCATGGCCGAGGAAAGATCCAATCAAGAGGATTGAGAACTCTACCAGACAGGTCACTTTCTCTAAGAGACGTACGGCATTTTCAAGAAAGCTAAGAGCTTACAGTTCTCTGTGATGCTAAGGTTTCTATTATCATGCTTTCTAGCACTGGCAAGCTCCATGAATACATTAGCTCTTCCACTACGTATGTTTCCCTTATCAAACCCTAGACTTTTCTTTTGACTGATTCAATTTAATTTTTTGTTATTTTTTTTTTCCTTTTCGGCTTGATTCAAGACAAAGGAGTTTTTTGATGAGTACCAGAGGATGCTAGCGGTTGATCTTTGGGCTCCTCAATATCAGTAATTTTGAACACAATCCTTAAAATCTAGGCATGTGTCATGCGAGATGAATATGAAATTTTGCAGAGCTTAACCTAAAACTACGTAAGGTCCAATTTTCATAAATCTAAAGTTAAATGAATCTTCTGCAACCATCTCTCAATCAATTTATAACACCCAGTTGATTCTCTCATGCCATTTAGGAAGATGCCTTACCATTTAACTGCATTCTGATCAAGATCTAAAAAAAAAAGATGAGAAATATATAATATCCAAAGATAAATAGTTAACCTATTTCAAGCCATGGGAAAGTACTTACATAAGAACTCTCTAGAAGTTGAACACACAAGCCAGATTTTAAAATATGTAAAATTCTTCCAGTGCAATACATTTCAGAATGTATAGTTTTATGAAAAGTAATTGTGTGACTACGGCCACATTTCACCCTGATAATAAGGATAAAATTTCCATATTGTTTTTTGGGTATTTCTAGAAGACAGGTCTCAAATGCCATCTTTATCTTAATAGAGTTAGGAATTTTGTTCTTTTTAGGTAGAACATACATATATACATAGCATGTGCAAGGCCGATTATCAAATAATATATACATTTATTTTAAAACATGAAAAAAAGTTTTGAATGGTAAGGGTATGCATGTATTATGCCCGATCAGTAAAATCGATTATGTATGTACTTTAAAACCACTGATTTTGATAGCTTAATAGGTAAGAGAGAATAAATAGAAAGTCATAGTGTCCATATATTATTCTTTATCTATTTATATTTTTGCTAATTTTTGAAGTTATTATAAGAAATTTCTCTTTGTAACATAAAATATTTGCATTACTTTGTGTAAAATGCAAGAGAAACTGAAGAGTCTGAAAGAAGTGAACAGGAATTTGCAGAGGGAAATCAGGTAATGGAGAAGGTGTTTGTGTGTAGCTTTCTGTTTAGCATAGTATTTTAAAATATATGATAGGTTATATTTATACTAATGTTGATCTGTGAAATTTATTGGATAGGCAAAGGTCCGGTCAAAGTTTAAACGATCTAAGCTTTGAGGAACTGCCTCTTCTGGAGGAAGATATCGATAATGCTTTGATATTATTCGGGACGAAAGGTTGTCATTTGAACTTCCAACCAAAACTAGATTTACTTAAACATATTTTATTTGTCCATTTATCATTACTCATGAAACCTTTCCCTCTTTTGAAACTGTTAGTACTAAATTTTGAGCATTGATCTCGACTCACCTTTCATTGACTATGCACCTAATAATTTTTTTCTTTATTTCGTTTTTAAAAAAAAATATATATAATAACAGTTTAAGGTGCTCTCAAATCGGATTGAAACTTCAAAGAAGAGTTACGATCTATTTCTCAAACAATAGCTTTAATCTATCATAGAACTTTCCTTTTTTCTTGATTCATATTTCAGTATTTCTTTTCCTTCAGCTAAGGAATGCGGCAGAAATAAATAGAAATCTCCGAATGAATTTGTAAGTATCATTGACTACTAATCTTCTACTTCTTTCATTTGACCATATAATAATAAGAAGAAAGGAAAGAGAACAACTTACGACATGAGTTTCGATTTTATTAATCAGGAAGGACGATTGGAAGATCCAGAATATGGGTTAGTGATAACGAAGAGCATTATGAAAATGTTATTCCGGCTTCTTTGCTTTACGCTTGCAACAAAACCAGCCAAATGCTACGGTGGATCAGGCTCAGATCTCACCACCTACCCCTTGCTTGACTAGTACTATCGCAGCTTCCATTTCCAGTTTTCTATAATATATATGCTAGATTGAGAACTTAATGTAGTATTTGAATGCTCGTATTTTGAATTATGTATTAGCTTTTGCTTCGTTTCAGTGCTTGTATGTTGGATGATGATGGATATTAAACGTAGTTTCGACTGTTAAGTAACCTTGCATAGTTGCATTAGTCTAGACACATTTGCTTTAAGGACTGGATCATATTGGGCCCATTTTGACAGAGAATGAAAGTTGGGTCCTAGTATCTAACTTACTGCATAAAAGAACAGTTTAGATCACTCCGTCGGATGTGGGCTGGGATTTCTAAACTCTTATACTGATACTGCTCATAAATTTGGATTATGGTAATTATTCTATAATCTAATTTTACATTTTTTTTTTCGTAATTTCATGAGAGAGTTAACAATTGTTAACTTATATTGAGTTTCATTTGTTTAACATGATTCGTCAACTCAATCCGAACTGATTAATTGAATAATCAATTTTAGACTGTTATGTTATAAAAAATTTATAATGTCGGATTGTGAATCTATTTTTATTGCATAAATTTTGGTTAGATGGCTGAAAGTCGTGTCAATTGAGGTTGAATCCTATATTAATGTTAGTTATTATAGTTTTGTCTTTGGCTGTTGGATATTGAAAGATAAAATTACCTAAATCCAAAGTCCTTGATTTGAGCTTCAGCATTTGAATTCACCAATCTGTTAGAAACGTTCTTCAAATGAAAACTAAAAAGAAGAATCTGTGTCTGACATCGATCAATGAAATGTAAATAGGCATGGCAATGTTCCCTGAGATTTCGGGACCCGTCTCGGCCCGTCCCATATGGGGTGAGGAAGCCCCTGTTTTTTTCGAGGATAGGGGCGGGGGTGAAGGTTGTTTTAGTCCCCGTCCTCGAGGATGGGGCGGGGGTGGGTGATTCCTTTCACCCGCCCCGCCCCGTATATAATATATAAAATTAAAAAAATGTTATATATATTTACTTTTTACTAATACCCTATATTTCATCTAATTCACAATTATCCTACCTATATAACCAATTTTTCCTAATTTCCCTCACCCTAAACAATTGAACAGAGCAAAGTCTGACCTATATTATGTATAGTTTTTATGTTTAAACGATTATTTAAATGTTTGTCATGTGGACGAGAATTAACTATTGTATTTGGTAATGTTCATTAATTTATATTTAATAAATTCACGTTGCTTTAACGGGCCTCCAACATTCCCCTTTGGGATGGGAAAGGAAAATTCCTATCATCCCGTAACGGAGATGGGGCGGGAGTAAGAAATAATTTTGAGGATGGGGATGGGTACGGTGAATGAAATCCCCGCCCGGCCCCATTGCCATGCCTGTGTATAAACACCAACAACAAAGCACGAAATATTGAACTGGGCCATTTAATGATTAAACACCTGACATCCTTGTCAGCATATTGTCCTATTAAATTATTCTCAATAAAGAATGAGTCACATATCAACTTTTTATATCATTTTTTTAAAAGGTATTGGGGTCTTTTTCTTTTTTTTTTTCTTTAATCATAATATTTCAATTTAATTAATTTCTTTTCAACGTTGTTCTAGTATTTTAACTGTGACAGTTAAAAAAAAAAAAAATTATAAACGAATAAGAGTTCGTTTGTCTAATATTAATTATTACATTATATTTTATTTATAAAATTAATCATACGATTTCTTGGGTGGTACGAAAATTTGAGGCAAAATTTTGGCAGTGATTAAAATGAGGTATATATTATTTATTAGAGTAAACGGCATATTGCCACCCAAGGTTTGACGTAACCCCAGTGAGTACTACAGGTTCCATTTATTCCAGATTCCCACCTTTAAAGTGACGGAAAAACGTTTGATAAAACGGTAAAGGGGTAAATTAGTCATTTTACATGGGCGGCGCACGTTAGCAGAGCACCGCCTGTAACAGTCCTCCGGTGCACATTAGCAGACCACTGCCGGTAAACTTTTTCGCTCTTTTTCTGGCGATTTTTCCACCCAAAATCACCATTGTCACCACCATTTGACTCCTCGAATCCTCCCCTACAAAACCCCTAACCTTTCCAGCCACGGCAGCTCACCGTTTGCCGTCCACCACTTCATCGAAAAACAGTCGAAGAACACGAACTCTCGGCCGGCGAATGACGACGAAACGGCTGCTGGGGACATAGAGATTTTATAGATTTGGATACGGTGGTTTCATTGGTGGTGTCCAATTGGATTTTCACCGCCGGAATCGACCGGAATCCGGTGAAGAACACCGAAACCCTAAGCCTAACGATGCCGGTTATTGGAGGGGCAAATGAGTCGGGAACCAGAGGGGTTTTGGACGACGGACTACGGGGAAGGTGATGGAGTGATTAGGGTGTTCGACGTCGTCTGAAACAGACCAGATCGGGCTGTTTCCGATGAGGGTGTGTAGTGANACCAAAATTCTGAGTTGTTTATTAAACTGAAAATCATTAAATCAAAAGCCAAAAAAAGAGGGAGATACTATAAACCTGGCAATAAAATTAGAAATAAACGTATAGCACAAACAAGATGTGATGGAAGCAGTTAGAAGTTTTGAAGAGTAAATGCTGGTAGTGAAGATAAACAACTAGCATAAGCAATGTCTCCATGTTAGTTGAAAGGATGGACATGGACTAGTTTTATCTTAACTGAGAATGAGAACAGAGCAATCCGGATGCATCAGAACCAATTTCCGCAAGTTCACAAACAGAACAAAGCTGTCCTTCCTGGGATGGAACAAACCTTGAACTGCAGTAAGGGCATGCCACATCCTTTTGTCCTCTGTATATAGGCTCATATGTTGCTCCACAAACTACGAAAGGATTTCTAAAATCATAATTCAGCTGGTATGCGTCGTTCTTGTTCTCACTCGCTTGCAAGATTTGCCTACCCTTTTTTATTTGGCTTTCAACGGTGGGATTGGTCTGAAAGTATCGCCTCGCAAAGTTAGTGGCTGCACTGTAATTACCAGTCTTAAAGCATGCTTCCATGGCATTCATCAATGCTATTCTACGGTGATTTAACGGAAGGTCAAAGTGGGTGAAATAGGCCGCTAGCTCCTGCTGGCGAACCAGATCGTCTTTCATTTCCATCTTTTTTAGCTCCATCTTCAGACCCAGAACATAAATTTTTGCTTTGTTAATTAAATCCTTTACTTCATCAACCTCTCTTCTTGAGTCAACAACAATCAAAGGAATGATATGGAGAATGCTCAGAAAAAGTTGTAAAGCCTCCGGTAATTTCTTCATATTAAAGGCTTTGTAGCCGGCTTTAAGCTTCTCTGCCAGCTGAGAGAATTTGAACACAAGGGCAGGCGGGCCACGTGCACTTGCTATTTCATTCCATCCCCTTGACACTGCCACTGACATCACTGGAGCCGAAGAGAAGGCATGAAGATGACTCTGGCTGCCCATGTTCACTTCAAGAAATAATGGTCTCAAAGGAGCAAAGTTCTTCATACCAAGCTGCCTGCTTAGCAGGCGCATAGCAACATCAAAATTTCCAGCTGCAGCATGTTCAGCAGCTATAGATGTTTTTTGTGTCCAAATTTGAGTTACAGGCATTCCAGGAGTCGGGGCAATAAATACCGAAGAATTGGCATGGCTGGCAGTGTCTGAAGTATCAGTCATGGGTGGAAGATCAAGATCCTCAAGGTCCCATCCTCCCTCTTCATTTTCTTCATGCATTTCTTCATACTCCAATGCCACATTGATATCTGCATTCGGCATGTTTTCCACATCCAGAAATTCCAAGTCCTCCCCCCAATCAGCGCCTGCTTCTTCTTCATCCTCTTCCTGAACATTTCTGCCTACATTATCCAGACCACCCTCAAATATACCTCTCGTGACCCTCAATAAAGGCCAATCTCCACCACACAAGATAGGACTTGGAGGCCTCAATAAAGACGGTAATTTTCCAGCAGGCAGAGAAGGAACATTATCTCCCAGTTCAGCTGCCAGGCGTTCAGCAATATCTCTTATCCCATGAACAGCAGCTGTGACATAAGCAAGGGGCAAATGGCCAGTGTTCTCCAATATATTGATGCGTTCCCTGATGTCAGACAAATACATGGCATTGTGGAATTGACTCATTACATCATTTTTTACTCCAGCTATTTTCAGCATTTTAGACAATTTATCTATATTTCCAGTTACAAGATAGAGGAATGATAGCCTCTCCAAGTTCTTTGTCCTTTGGTATGCACATTCCACAATGCCTGCATTACCCTGTCGCAGGGCCTCTACTCCTAATAGATACCAAAGATCTTTCTCATCAATTTCCTTAGCAGCAGCAACAGCAATCTGGATGTTACCACTCTCCAATGCCAAGTTAAAATGTGTTCTCTCATCCTTCACAAAATGAAGAGCAATCTCTGGGAAACGTTTCTGCTTCAGATATGCAATCATGGCTTGCCCGCATAGATTCGAGTTCCTAATCATGCCCATAACCAGGTCGTATCTCTTCTTCAGGAGAGACAACTTGAAGATATATTCAGTTGCATCAATGACAATGGCATGATTTTTCCCGTCTCGGTCCAAGCAATATATGGTGTCTCTAGACACTTTTGTTATATATACCGGGGCATCTAGAGTCCTCACGATTCCACTGTCTCCATTGGGAAGGCAGTATTTGATGTGATTCAGAGTCGTATATATGAAGACACCATTCTCATCCCAAGCTCCACTCTTTATCCTGATTGTCTCATGGAGAGTACATTGATGCACAAGCTTCTTACTGGCTATCCCAATTGTATGTTTGCTCAACAAAGCAACATTCGCCATATCATTTGACCAAACAACATCCCTAACAAAAAGTGTTTGAAGCTCCGCAAGAATCATCTTCTGCTGGAGATAAAAAATAAACACTCTATCCTCTGCTCTGCACAGCAAGTTTCCAGTTCCAGCATAAAATATTGCATCCGCAATGGCAGGAAGGACAATCCTCTTCACAGTCTCATTCTTAAGGTTCTTAACTTGAACTTGGTTGCTGCTCTTATCTAAAACGGCAAACCTATTTCGAGTCACAAAAACTGCTGATCCTCCCATACCTCTTTTCACCTCCTGAAGCATCTCACCCATGCCATAGCTTTCTTTAGGTATAGTATAAAGTTCATGAGATCCCCCATCCACATCAGAACAGATTAAAACAGCATTCTCAGTAGGGCTATAAGCAAGTCTTTTAGCCCCTTGAGTGAAGCTAGTAGTACCAGGCCTTCTAATCAAGATTACCTGAGTGTCACTCTGAGTTGAGAACTTGTAGCATCGCAGGAAACGATCTTTGACATGGAACATATAATCACCACTCACAGCAAAAGCAGGACGTTCTCTCTCCAATTTAAAAACAATCAACCCACTATCATGTCCAGCAGCCAGAAGATTCATCTCAGGATGTGATGCAAGAATCCAAAACCTGTCATGTTCCCTCCGAAATGTCTGAGTACCAGTCCGCTTTATGGCATCCCAAACACGAATACTCCTATCTTCTGAATTGGACACAATAATATCCTGCCTCGCGTGGAATAAAACACACGACACATTATTCATATGCCCTCTCAAAGTGTCCACTTCCCAAGCCTTTGAATCTAAAACAAGAAAGCCAATACATAAGAAGAACAGGTTAAACTTAAAGGTTCTATTTGTTTATCAATTCGGTTTTTGCACATATCATAACTTAATTAAGAGCAATCTTGTATCACAAGTAATGGAAGAATTTTTAATTAAAAACAAAACTAGATTAACAGAGAAGAAAACAAATAATACGAATAAACAAACCAACCATTCATCCGCCATATTTTGACTTGGCGATCATCGGCTGCTGAGACAATTAAAGGGAGAGTAGGATGGAATGAGGCCCAATTAACTCCTCGATCATGACCCTCCAAAACATGCTTAACAACAGCATCAACCCCACCAAACAAATCGCTGTTAATCTGGCTTAACTGTTTCGATCGCAGTACATCATCACTCGGTGCAACCGTATTCTTTCTCAATGTACTAATATCCCAAACACGAATTGTTTGATCCAACGACGCCGACACAATCAAATCGTCCTTAGGATGAAATGATGCACACGTTACATAATGATTGTGTCCCGTTAGTATAGAAACACACGTACGTGATTGCCAGTTCCATATTCTAATAGTTTGGTCATCACTGGAACTAACAATCCAAGGACATTCTTGATGAAATTCAACGGTTCGAATATAATCAAGGTGGCCAATAAGAGAAAACAAACACCTGTGTAGTTTATAATTCCACACCTTGATTTTATAATCATCACTTCCTGAAACAAACAGAGGCTGAGACCTGTGAAACTGGACACTACGGACGGGTCCATCGTGCTCGTCAAACTGATCAACGAGCGTGCCCATCCTGTAATCCCAGAGCTGGATCACGCCATTGTGAAGACTTGCCAAGATCCATGGCCTCTTACTGTGAAAACTCAACCCCTTCACTCTATTACTCTTCGTCTCGAATTTTGTCAACATTTTGCTTTATTTGTTTTTTTTTTTCAATTGTATGAAATAATGGTGATTATTGATTGGAGATTTAGGTGTAGATTTGTCAAGAAACAAAGGAAAGAGACCTCAGAAAAAAGGCTTTCTTTTATGCAAGTGTTTTGTTGCTTTCAGTCGGGAATTGGAGAAAATAAAAAAATTATGTTCCTCTAGTTCTGTTAAATTGGTTTGGTTTAAGGATAATTTTATCATCGAGCTTGACCCTGAATATTAGGGGGAAATGTGGTCGTATGATAAATGAGGCAATAGAATTGAACATTTTTTATTTTATTCTAGGCCCGAAAATGTGCATCCCTGCCCGAGAATTAGTCTCTACTCAAACTTATACATTTATCATTTATGTATCACATATGTACTAGTTGGACTAATTAATTAAATTAATGTTTACAAGGAAAGGGTTTTATCAAGTTGTAGCAGTGTCAATTTTGATATATATTACAATTAGAGTCAATATTACATTTTTAACTCAATCTCGTAAACTTTCTCCACATAACTTAGATGTGTCAGTTCACAATTGATTAGTCATAAATGGGTCTTGTTCGCTCATTATGGACCTCACCTATCTGTTTTGCGGGCTGTTATGTTGGGATTGTGAGTAAAAAGTTTATAAGATTAGGTTATTGACTTATGAGCCCATCCTTATTGTACAATTATATGTATACTTTATAAATAATACTATACTTACCATTTTTCTCATACAAACCAATATGGCAAAAAGATAATTGGGTGATATTCATAAAGAAAGTATAATTGCATGCCTAGAAACACCCATGCATGATGCATGCATATACATTCAAAGTTCCAACTGGAATGATTTCTTCATCAAATATTTAATAAATCTCGCCGGTCTGTATCTGTCATTTGCTTGCAGTATATAAAACTCCACCAGTATGCAACCAAATAAACTTGCAGAAACTCTCCCACAAATCAAGCCACAGTCCCTTTGTTTCTTTCATTATCCTGCCAATGGCAACCCAAAATTCATCCCACTTCGAGATTGAGGTTATCATCGACACACCCGCTACCATAACAACAATTGCCACAAGAGATCAGCCTAATCTTTCCTTAATTGTTTCTAGGTGAATCAAACAATCTCTAAAATCCATCTTAATCAGATTTCATGCTGGTTATTTTAGAATAAGCCTTTCTCTGGGTGGCCAAGCTTTATTATGGAAGACACTGATCGGACCAACTGATGATTATACAAGCACTCTGCGACATGTCTTCCACATACTCCACCCCACAGCTTTTCGTGTATTGTGGTTTCTCGCTCTCTTTGTCCTTATTTTACTTTCTCTTCTTTACATCTTGCGATGCTTATTTTACTTTAAGATGGTGAAAGTAGAATTCTTACACCATGTAGGAGTTAACTATCTATTTGCTCCTTGGATTTCATGGCTTCTATTACTTCAATCTGCACCATTTGTTACTCCAAAAACCTCCTCCTATCTTGTTCTATGGTGGGTTTTTGCAGTTCCGGTGGTGGCGCTTGATGTGAAGATTTATGGTCAGTGGTTTACCAGAGGAAAGAAGTTTTTATCAACAGTTGCAAATCCAACAAGTCAGTTATCGGTCATTGGGAACTTGGTTGGCGCACAAGCAGCGGCTATTATGGGGTGGAAAGAGAGTGCTGTTTGCTTATTTTCACTAGGGATGGTGCATTATTTGGTGCTTTTTGTAACACTTTATCAGAGATTTTCTGGAAGCAATCGGCTTCCAGCCATGCTAAGGCCAGTGTTCTTCTTGTTCTTTGCAGCACCCAGTGTGGCGAGCTTGGCTTGGGAATCCATAGCGGGTTCTTTTGATACTGCATCAAAGATGCTTTTCTTCCTCTCGCTGTTCCTCTTCACTTCACTGGTAATTAATATTTTGTTGCATTAAAATTTTGATCAAGAAATTGACGTAGTTTGGAAGCATTAACTAAGGATATATGTTGAAACATATAATAGTATTATTGGAGCTGATCTCAATTTCACATAATAATAAAATACATGCATTACAGCAGGTTATATCTGCAGGTTCAGGAATAATAAAGCTGGTTTGCTTTACTTTGCAGGAAGTGACAAATTGTACAGCTGGTTAAGGATATAGAGAGATGTTTTTATGTTAATTAAATATTGTTCTTTTTTTTATTTTTATTTTTTAATAGAAGTGTATATATCAGTAAGTACAGTCCTTCCATGCACCACGGGAATTCCTTGGTTTTATTAACTAATGCTAGCGCATCAAATAGCAATGGTCGAGTAAATTAGTGAAACATTAATACATTTGTAGACCATTCTTAATTTCGAAGGAGTCAACGTGCGATTAATGATAATCTAATTTATTAAGATTTGACTTATTTCATATATACATGAACAGGTTTTTAGACCAGCCCTCTTCAAGAGGTCGATGAGAAGGTTCAATGTGGCATGGTGGGCTTATTCATTTCCTCTGACTGTGCTTGCTCTAGCTTCAACTGAATATGCACAAGAAGTAAAAGGTGGCATTGCAGACGTCTTAATGCTTCTTCTTTCAGTTATTTCCGTCTTGGTCTCCTTTTGTTTGATAGTCTTCACTCTCCTCAACTCCAAATTACTTTTACCAGACAATGACCCGTTTGCTAACCTCGATAATATTTCAACCCGTTCGTAGTTCGTGTTTTAAGCTCTACTTAAATTATTTCTGGGTACAAATTTTGGTTTTGGCGACTGGTTTATCTATATGATTGTTGTTTGCTTGTTTTGTACTTTTGTTAGAGTAAACGATTTTTTACCACTCAAGGTTTGCCTTAATGGCACTTTTCCAACCCAAAAGTTTCAAAATACCACATTTTCATCCAAAGTTTATATTATGTTAATACTTAAAGCCGATTCCGACGGTGAAAATTCTTTCCATCACTACCATTTGAACCTTTGGTTTCTTCTCTACAAAATCTCTCTCACTCTTATATCTAAATTCTCACCGATTGTTAGTCATCATAAAGTTAAAGTTTTATGTTCTTAACTGATTTCCAACTGATTCTAATGATGAATATTCAATCAGTTATCACTATTCGATCCACTGACCTCCATTTTACAAAACCCTCTTATCTTGGTTTTTGGTAACTCATCAAACGTCGATTGAAAAAAGTAAAATGTATTTTAGGTATTAATGAAATATAAATTTTGGGTGAAAAAAATAGTATTTTGAAAATTTTTCAGTGAGGAAGTGTGCAAACTTTAGATGGGAAAAAGTCGTTTACTCTTTTTGTCATGTTAATCACGTAATATATTATCAATTTTAATTAAGGTTGTTGGATAAATGTACTTCAGTCCTTGTTTGTCTATGAAAGTAAAATAAATATATTAATTTTGTCTTACATTACATATCAATTTATTTATATGATGTACGTGGCAATTAAGTACCGAAGATTAGGCTACCAAACTTCATTTGGATATATTTATTTTGATTCGGCAAAATTTGGAATTTGTTTGATAGTGTAATCACAAATCAGAATCCTTTGGAAAAATGAAAAATAGTCAGACCAGATTAGGTAACTGGTACATCAAATTGCAGCATCATTTATTCATGGTTACCGGTTAGCTTCCTGCAAGAAAGGAGAACAAAAGAATGATGCATGAATTAGTTCTAGATATATAATTAACATATTTCAAATAAATAAAAGCAACTTGAGATAAATTAAGAAGATAAAGCCTCAATAAAAACAAAAACAAAAAAAAAAAAAAAACAAAAAAAAAAAAACAAGTAAGAATAATGAGAGATCAATTTGTGATGTTTTTGCGGGAACTTAAGTTTACGTGTTGGATTTGAGTTTGAATTCTTACAACTTGATGAATTCTGTAATAAAGTATGAGAATAAAATATACTCAGGAATATTTCGTTAATATTTTTAAATATTCTTCTTTTAAGCGCTGGATAATACAAAATTACGTGCTTCCAAAAGAAATTAAATATGAATGAAAGGAAACCAGTTACATCAGCCTTAATGAGGACAATGGTATATAATTATATATTGGGGAACCTTTCAGCCAGGAAGAAGCTTCTGATATTTGATTTTATCGTATGTTGTTACTACAATCAGATTATAATATGAATTTAACAGACCAAACAATCCCCACAGAGAGATTTTTAAAAACAAAAACAAACAAAACAGATAGCTAAAAAAATAGAGCAATTGTTGACTTAAATTAGATGGTAGATATTGTGAATCTGAAAACTTTAACGTTGTCTGACCCATGACAACTTACAGCTAGTTATATAGTTGACAATTTAAAATTGGTAAATTGTTGAGTTGAGAAAGAACAAATGTGGCACAATCACATGGAGATATTATAACAAAGTGAAGATGATGGACGAAACACAGACCATCGTTGAGTTGAGACTCAAGCGATTCAATACTAACAAAAATTAAACTTTTAATTAAATAAATATTGTCATAATCAACGGGATTAGGTATTGAATACCAGATACATTTAAGCTTTATTTTCTTGTGTATCATATTCAATTACAAGACATGTCGAAAACAAATTCTTTAAGATATGGTACAGCACTAACTTGTAAATCTTACAAAATCTGTTAAGTTTGAAAATTAAAAATCAATGGTTGACGTATACAATAGGTTGTTGTAGTATAATTAAGTCAAATATAAATAGTGATAAGTAGTAATTAATAGAAAATTTACATGATTAGAAAATAAGTAGAGAAATTAGTCCTGAGAATAATGATTTCCAGTACAACGAAGATTGTGTATTTAGAATAATATTTAACAAATGCATTTTTGGGTTTGGTTCATGCTTTTTAGAATAGGATTTTAGAAAAAGTAAAGTTGAGTTGAGTTTCCGTTAATCGAGCTGAATTTTCGGTTCAGAAATTTTTCTGAACCAAAACCGAACAAGCTTGGGAGGAAAACTGGTTTTTCGGTTTGAAAAAACTGGTTAATCGGTTTTGAACCGATTTTCCCTTTTTTATTGAATAAAACTTATTTTTTTTTTATTTTTCCTCAATTAAATTGTAAATATCAACAACACATATCCAAATAAAAATTAAACATTCATACATATCTATTGACCACAACTAATAATAAATTAAAAATTGATACAAATAAAAGTCTAAAATTAAACAAAAATAAAAGTCCGTAATAAAACGTCCATAATAAAACAATAAAATAACTAAATAAGTCTTAATGGAAAACAACAAAAGAAATTGTGCAAATTTAGGGATTAAGATTATTATTGTTATATACATATAAGTAAACCAGTTCAAAAAACCGGTTTCCATTTTTACCCGAACCTAAAATTTGGTTTTTTGAATTCTTTGAATCGTAACCGAATCGTTTTTTTGATTAACGGTTTTTCGGTTTGGTTCGGTTTTTATATTTTTTTTTTAACATCCCTACCTACACCCACTTCCTCTTCCTAGATCCCACACACACTTCCTCCATTTCCTCGCCTTCGACAGCCTTGCAACAAAAAATAAAAATTAATTGAATTTATTATTATGTTAGTTTTCAATCAGTGGCGGATCCAGCCACTTTTTGGGTGGTTCAAATTTTTTTTTAATATTAATATGTATAATTTATATATTTTGGCTCATCCTAACAAAAATATTAATGGACAAAAATAGTAATATATAATAAATTTTTATTTTGACCCACCCTAAAAGAAATTTCTGGATCCGCTACTGTTTTTAATTAAAGTTAATAGATGAATCTTAACATGGGTGCGAAATTGTTTTTTTTTTTTGAAACATTCCACGTGAGAAAACTTACTTACGCCTTAGTTTGGGTGGGAAATTGTCATTCTCCCTTCCCTTTAATAAAAAAACCTTTTAGTTTGTATTTTGAAACAAGCCAATGTCTGGTTGAAACATGACCAAAGCCCAAGTAAAACAATGTTTGATAGATGATGACTATGAACCAGAAATTAGAGTGATGTAGAATTACTTTGCACATTAATAAGTTTGGAGGTTTTGATTAGACATTAGAGTGTGAGAGATTTGAGATGACAATAAATGTTAATTTCTTCAAAATCATCTCTAGTATTCAATTCCCAATAACTTAGTTCTCCAGCTACTTCTTCAGCTATCACCTATATCTATATTAGTGTACTAAAAAACCCAGAGGATCTTTAATTGTCTTCTTCAACATGTCCAAGAATGTACTAGTAAACGTTGTCGTTTCAGAAGGAATAGGCACATTACCACGTTTTGTGACTTCACCATTCACCTTTCATTGAATTAGCTAATGCCTTTACATTTTTAGCAACAATCCACTCTCTCTTCTCTCCTTTCATTTATTGTTGTTGTTCAAAAGTTTATCAGAGCAAGAGAAAGAAAACAAAGACACCATATTTGAGATTCAAGATAGATTCAATCATGGCTCGAGGAAAGATCCAGATCAAGAGGATTGAGAACTCTACCAACAGACAGGTCACTTTCTCTAAGAGACGTAACGGCATTTTCAAGAAAGCTAATGAGCTTACAGTTCTCTGTGATGCTAAGGTTTCTATTATCATGCTTTCTAGCTCTGGCAAGCTCCATGAATACATTAGCCCTTCCACTACGTATGTTTCTCTTATCAAACCCTTGATTTTTCTTTTGACTGATTCAATATTAATTTTTTGTTATTTTTTTTTCCTTTTCGGCTTGATTACAGAACAAAGGAGTTTTTTGATGAGTACCAGAGGATGCTAGCGGTTGATCTTTGGGCTCCTCAATATCAGGTATATTTTGAACACAATCCTTAAAATCTAGGCATGTGTCATGCGAGATGAATATGAAATTTTGCAGAGCTTAACCTAAAACTACGTAAGGTCCAATTTTCATAAATCTAAAGTTAAAATGAGATCTGTCTGCAACCATCTCTCAATCAATTTATAACTACCCAGTTGATTCTCTCATGCACATTTTAGGAAGATGCTCTTACCATTTAACTGCATTCTGATCAAGATCTAAAAAAAAAAGATGAGAAATATATAATATCCAAAGAATAAAATAGTAACTTATTTCAAGCCATGGGAAAGTACTTACATAAAAGTCTCTCCAGAAGTTGAACACACAAGCCAGGTTTAAAAATATGTAAAATTTCTTCCAGTGCAATACATTTCAGAATGTATAGTTTTATGTATAAAGTAATTGTTGACTACGGCCACATTTCACCCTGATAATAAGGTATAAAATTTCCATATTGTTTTTTGGGTATTTCTAGAAGACAATGGTCTCAAATGCCATCTTTATCTTAATAGAGTTAAGGAATTTTGTTCTTTTTAGGTAGAACATACATATATACATAGCATGTGCAAGGCCGATTATCAAATAATATATACATTTATTTTAAAACTATTGAGAAAAAAGTTTTGAATGGTAAGGGTATGCCATGTATATATGCCCATCAGAGTAAAATCGATTATGTATGTACTTTAAAACCACTGATTTTGATAGCTTAATAGGTAAGAGAGAATAAAATAGAAAGTCATAGTGTCCATATATTATTCTTTATCTATTTATATTTTTGCTAATTTTTGAAGTTAATTATAAGAAATTTCTCTTTGTAACATAAAATTATATGTATTACTTTTGTAGAAAATGCAAGAGAAACTGAAGAGTCTGAAAGAAGTGAACAGGAATTTGCAGAGGGAAATCAGGTAATGGAGAGAGGTGTTTGTGTGTAGCTCTCTGTTTATCATAGTATTTTAAAATATATGATAGGTTATATTTATACTAATGTTGATTCTGTGAAATTTATTGGATAGGCAAAGGTTCGGTGAAAGTTTAAACGATCTAAGCTTTGAGGAACTGCCTCTTCTGGAGGAAGATATCGATAATGCTTTGAGTATTATTCGGGAACGAAAGGTTGTCATTTGAACTTCCAACCAAAACTAGATTTACTTAAACATATTTTATTTGTCCATTTATCATTACTCATGAAACCTTTCCCTCTTTTGAAACTGTTAGTACTAAATTTTGAGCATTGAAATATCCGACTCACCTTTCATTGACTATGCACCTAATAATTTTTTTTTCTTTTATTTCGTTTTTAAAAAAAAAAATATATATATATATAACAGTTTAAGGTGCTCTCAAATCGGATTGAAACTTCAAAGAAAAAGGTAAGATCTATTTCTCAACAAATAGTTGTAATCTATCATAGAAAACTTTTCCTTTTTCTTGAATTCATAGTTCAGTATTTCCTTTTCCTTCAGCTAAGGAATGTGGCAGAAATAAATAGAAATCTCCGGAATGAATTTGTAAGTATCATTGACTACTAATCTTCTACTTCTTTCATTTGACCATATAAATAATAAGAAGAAAGGAGAAGAGAACAACTTACGACATGAGTTTCGATTTTATTAATCAGGAAGGACGATTGGAAGATCCAGAATATGGGTTAGTGGATAACGAAGAGCATTATGAAAATGTTATTCCTGGCTTCTTTGCTTTACGCTTGCAACAAAACCAGCCAAATGCTTACGGTGGATCAGGCTCAGATCTCACCACCTACCCCTTGCTTGACTAGTACTATCGCAGCTTCCATTTCCAGTTTCTATAATATATATTGCTAAGATTGAGAACTTAATGTAGTATTTGAAGATGCTCGTATTTTGAATTATGTATTAGCTTTTGTCTTCGTTTCACTGCTTGTATGTTGGATGATGATGGATATTAAACGTAGTTTCGACTGTTTTAAGTAATTCTTGCATGGTTGCATTAGTGTAGACACATTTTGCTTTAAGGACTGGATCATATTGGGCCCATTTTGACAGAGAATGAAAGTTGGGTCCTAGTATCTAAGATTATTGGACAGAAAAGAACAGTTTAGATCACTCCGTCGGATGTGGGCTGGGATTTCTAAACTCTTATTACTGACACTGCTCATAAATTTGGATTATGCTGATATTATCCTTATAATCTAATTTCACCATTTTTTTTTCATAATTTCAATGTGAGAGTTAACAATTAGTTAACTTATATTGAGTTTAATTTGTTTAATAATGAATTTCGTCAACTCAATTACGAATTGATTAATTATGAACTAATCAATTTTAAACTGTTATGTTAATAAAAAATTTATAATATCGAATTATAAACCTAACTTTATTGCATAAATTTTGGTTAGATGGGCTGAAAGTCGTGTCAATTGAGGTTGAATCCTGATAATTAATTGTTAGTTATTATAGTTTTGTCTTTGGCTGTTGGATATTGAAAGATAAAATTACCTAAATCCAAAGTCCTTGAATTGAGTTTCAGCATTTGAATTCACCAATCTTGTTAGAAACGTTCTTCAAATGAAAACTAAAAAGAAGAATCTGTGTCCGACATCGATCAAACGAATGTATAAACACCAACAACAAAGCACGAAATATTGACTGGGCCATTTAACGATAACACCTGACATCCTTGTCACATATTGTCCTATTAAATTATTCTCAATAAAGATGAGTCCATATCAACTTTTTAATCATTTTTTTATAGGTATGGGTCTTTTTTTTTTTTTTTTTTCTTTAATATAATATTTCAATTTAATTAATTTCTTTTCAACATTGTTATAGTATTTTAACTGCGACATTAAAAAAAAAAAAAAAAATTATAAACGAATAAGATTTCGTTTGTCTAATATTATTATCATTATATTTTATTTATAAATTAATCATAATTCTTTGGTGGTACAAACAGTGACGGATTCAGGAATTTCACTCGATGGGAAAAATAACAAAAAAAAAAAAAAATTAAAACCAATCATATTCATATATATATATATTTTTTTTTCATTATGATAAGTTTTAACAAAAAGTTACAAAATACAAATAAATATATTTAAAAAACACAATTTTTGTAAAAATAAAACAATTTTTCTACAATTGTCCTCGATGAGTTTTCATATTCTAAAAACGTTGGATAATTATCTCATCATCAACTGTATCAAATACATCTTTCTCAATATAGGTGACCAAGCATTCATGCATCTATTGATTTCTCATTTGATTGTGTAACCAACTTTCCCAAGATTCATTGCAGAGAAAGTCCTTTCAATGATCACAGTTGCAATTAGTAAAACCAATGCAAGTTTCAAAAGCTTATACACCAACGGATACAAAATGTCTTTTTCAAACTGAACTTAAATCTTAGCCAAATCACCAATTCTTTCTAGCTCAGCAAAATTCATCACAAGAACGCCTATCAATAACATAAGTCCTAGTATGGTTCTCAAGTACCATCAACTCAAGTGCAGAAAAATCAGTTGGATAAAACTGGGCAAAACGGATCAACTTATGCTTGTCAGAAGCAGAGAATGAAATACTTGGATATAAACATGTCATACAAAGAAGCAGCTCAGTACTAACCTTAGTGAAACGAGTGTTAAGTTCTTGAAGTTGCATATCTATCATTGTATAAAACAATTCAACTCGATAGTGATACAAATTTTTCATGTGCTCAACTCTTCGTCGTGGCTGCCTTCGAATTGCAAACATATCATCCATATTCAAAATGACAATATCATGTTTTTGGCAAAATGAAAAAATTTCACTGAACAAAGATTTCCATCCTTCATCTCTCAACAATTGTAACCGTTGTTTTGGAGACCTTGACTAGGGCCATAGCATTTATAATGTCTTGATCTTTTCTCTACAATGCTCGTGACAACTCATTAGTAATTGCCAATATACTTTTCATCATATGCAAGCTAATTGCAAAATCAAAGGAATAGATTACATCTAATAGATTTAGGGGTGAAATCGAATCAAGTCGAGTATTTGGTAAATCAAACTCAACTCGATCTCTATAGTATCGAGTTCGAGTTCGAGTTCAGGCCTGATCGAACTTGAGAAATCAAGTTCAAACTCGAACTCGGTACTTGAAATTGGAAATCGAGTTCGAATTCAAGTTCGTATAATCAAGCTTTTTTTGAGTTTTAATCGAGTGCAAGTTCGAACTCGATTTCAAGCTCATCTAACAAGGGTGGATTTGCAAATTTTATAACTTTTAAATTACATATAACCCCTATTACTTTAAAAACTGTCAACTTAACCATCGAGCTTGAAAAGACTCACGAATATATTGAGTTGAGTTTTACTCGATTAACTACTCGAACTCGACTCAACTAATATGGATTCCTTTTATTTTCACTCCCAATAAAATTTTCAAAAACTAATAGATCCCTTGCATAAAAATAAAAATCACAAAGAATATGTAATAAATATATTAAAATTAAAAAATAGGTTTTACAAAAACAAAATCTAAACTTATTGTAGGGCCGGCTATTCCGTTCTCAAAATCTTAAAAGATTTATAAGGATTAAATTTAAATAAATATAAATAGAAATAGAAAATCTGGAATTTTTAAAAAATTGAGTGGGGGCCGTGGTCCCACTCGTCATTCATCAAATCCGCCCCTGGGTACGAAAATTTGAGGCAAAATTTTGGCAGTGATTAAAATGAGGTATATATTATTTATTATTACTTTTTTATAATTAAATGGTTTTGCCGTCTGTGAATAGACCCTTGTGTCAACGGTCAACTCAAAGTACACCGACCGTGACAACCTGCGAGCGAAACCTTCGTTCTCGTCATCTGAAGAAGAATAGCACGTGCCTCAACCTGACAAGGATTTCACAGAAGATCCATGAAATCAGCGGTCATCTGAGACCACCGAGTGATTGCCCAGAGTCCATTTATAAAAAGCGCTCACCATGCGGCCCAAACAAAACAATTATAATATTATATTTAGGTTTTTTTTCTCTTAAACCCCAGCTGTTTATTTAATATATGTTATTTCCATGTCTGACTCTCACACAAAACAAGCAAGCCTCTAACAGAGAGAGAAGGAAAAGTAGAGACAAAGAATTTTTTTTGTTAGATTTTAGGAATGGGAGCTCTAGTTCCAGTTTCTCCTTGGTTACCAGAAGATGACCTTTTGTTAAAGAACTCTATTGAGGTAATTTTTTTTTTAATTACACATTGTTATGTTCTTTTATCACCAGTTTCTTCAACTTTACGAAGTTTTAATATGGAAATAACTGCGCGGTATTCTGTGTTTCTTGTGTTCGAAACATGAATTAGTTTCATAAATGGCGTTTGTATTCTGCTATAAAATCTGTTCTTGGCTTGTTATATATTACCATTAGAAGATTCTTCATAATCAGGTTTCGAATGAAAGAATTTGACCCTTTAATTTGTCAAGTGTTTGCAAGTACTTGCAGTTGGAGTTATAAGAATACCATGATGAAGTCTAGAAGCTACCCTTTTATCTTGAATCTGCTTTTGTAGGTTATATGACAGTTTCTTTGCCAAATATTAGAAGCATTATTGGTGTTTCTCTACTCTGGAAACTATTTCAGTTTGTTGAAGTGTTGATGAATTTGCCTAACTTGCAATTGCTGGAAGCTGAACACTCTAGCTAGTGATGGGTTTGGTAGAATCATATAGTTATGCTTACTATTGATGAACAATGGTATAGGTATTATATTTGGAGGTCCAACATTCCCAGGGTTTTGGAGATGCTACTGTTTAGTGCTAGGTAGATGATGAAATTCGTGTAGCAACTTATTTTTTCAAAAGCTTAAGCTTTCCTAAATTGGCTTGGCAATTTGCTAGTTTTTTAGGTTTTAGACCACAGTGGCCAGTGTTGAGCATGGGATGGCCAAAGGAAGTAATGTAATGCCCCTAATTCTATATTTTTATTTATTTATTCAGAAAGCATACAAACTGAAAAGATTCTTTAGAACAGTGTTTGAATGACAAAAATTTACAATGAGAGGGCCTGAATATTCTTAAGAATCAGAATGCATATTTCGTTCAAACCTCCACCTTGTTTACATCTTTGTTATCTGTTCCTGCTAGTCTGTTTTAATAGTGTTTTTATGAGAAGACTGATTACAAAGAGTTGTAGGTGGCCTTATTTATTCTCTATTTGTTACTTTGAACTTTATATTCCTTTTCCTTTGAAGAGGGTTGGAGACATGAAATACATCTGAAATTTATGCTTTGTGTAAACCATTTGTTTATCTTGCCACGAGTCATAATTGTAATTTCTTTACATTTGATTCTATATCTGACTTCTTCTGTTGCAGGCTGGTGCTTCCTTGGAATCACTTGCTAAAGGTGCAGTGCAGTTTTCCAGGAAATTCACTGTTCGAGAACTGCAAGATAGGTGGCATTCTCTTCTTTATGATCCAGTTATTTCTGCCGAGGCTTCTTTCCGCATGATTGAGTTTGAGCATTCTGCACCCACTCTACCGTCAAAATTCAGTAGAGCTGGAAATTCAAAAGAAAACAGAAGTTTTTCTGGTAAGAGAAAAGTAGAAAGTGTCCGCAGTTGTTATTATGCTTTGCGTAAGAGAATTAGAAATGAGCCTTTTAACTCTATGGATCTGAGTTTTCTTGTTGCACCTAGTGAAGAAAATTTATTTGGAAATGAAGACGAACCTCTATCTGGAAACTGCATGCTGGGCGATCCAATGCCAAATCATTATGGGCTTCAAGAATCAAATTTGGATATTATGCAGCATGCTTTTCCTGAAGCGGATGCTGGAACTGCTGTGGAGAATGGTTGCATGGCTCATGGTTTTCATGGGGAACTTGTTCACCCAGTTGATGAAGATTTTGCTATGCAGCATGATAATATTCATGAAGATATTCCTGATATGTTTGAAGAGAATCCTCCTTTTACAGGGCATGGCCCTGGACTTGAGGAATTGGGTCAACCAAAACAAGTTCCCAGCCTGTTTGGAGTAGAACATTTAGAGGCAAATCCACCATCTACCTATGGGCAAATTCATAATGATCCAGGAAATGTTTGCTCTGAGTTTGAAGGTAACCAGGTCTTTCATTCACCTATTCCAGAGTGTGATGTTTCATTTCAGAACTTGGAGTACTCATCTCCACTTCCTGAGATGCCAATTTGGAAAGCAGTTGAAGAGATATCAACACCGGCTATTCCAGTTGATGACAGCCTTAGAGAAAAAGATATGCATGCTGGAGATGCATTTGCACTTCGTGATGATGGTGGTGAGGACACAAGTGCACCAGGATGTGACTTTGTCCACACTGATTCAAATTTGAAGATGCAGATGTCATGTGATGATTTAAAAAGTCCTGCTGCTAGCACAGAAAATTATCTGGCTGAATTGTCCAATTCTCTTCTGAACTTTACAAATGATGAAGAACTCCTCCTCATGGATGTTGATGGAAAAGAAATGATTGATAAGTCTTACTATGATGGTCTTTCACTTTTGTTGAGTTCACCAAATGAGGTCAATGAAGACCACATGCCCAGTCCAGAACCAGAGACATTGGCTAACCAAACAAATTCGTCTGGTATATTTCTTGCTGAGTCAGTTGAAAAAGTCCAAATGAAATCGTCTGCGTCTGCTTTGGATCCTCGATTTCCTGAACTGATTGATGGAATTATTTGCTGCACATTGAACACTGAAGATCCAGATATTCCTTGCAATGATGATGTTTTCCTACCCATTCATACACACCGTCTCTCAGCTCCCATTGCTACCAGGCGCAATTTTAAAGAAGTTGGTAATCCAATTTCTACATCTGTTAAGGACTTTCGAAGCAACCCAAGATCTAATGAAGGACATCCAGTCTTGATGCAGAGAGATCAAGAGAACCCTGGACAATCTCATGCCTCATCTCATATGATGGGATCACAGGGGATACCAGAAAAAGGTCAACTGCACCCAGTTCTTGATTGTGGAGTTAAATTTGAGTCCCCACATTTGGCATCTAGAACTTCGGCTATTGCTTCCGGTGGTTCCATTCAAATTAATGCAGTGAATGTTGGCACAGACACTCTCCAACATGCAAGACTGAAGGAAGAGACTGAGGAGATAGCATTGGTGAAGGATCTTGGTCGTTCCTTGACTGATTCCTTTCTGGAGAAGCCAGCTTTTGGCTCTGATGACTACAAAAGCCATGAGAGAAATGCTAGTGGCATTAAACTGGAATTAGATGCTCTGGCAGCAATTCAAGATCGTCAAGCATCAAATGCAGAAGCAGGATCTATAAATATCCCTGATTCAGAGCCAGTCATAAATCCTCCAACATCAGAGATAGAGCTATCAATTGAGAGTGATGATGATGATGTGCCATATTTTTCTGATATTGAGGCGATGGTAAATCTTGAAATTGAACTTTCTAGTTGATGAGTGATTATTTTGTTTCTTTGTCTGATTAGTTTATTGCAGTTTCTCTACTCTTTTGAGTTATAACAAAATTGTGATATTTTAAATCAGATACTTGATATGGACTTGGATCCAGATGACCAGGATTTATATGAGCTGGAAGGTAATTGAAATTACTTGTTCCTTATCCTGTATTTGTCCATGCAGCAGAAATATTTTGTACATTTAGTTTGAAAATCCTCTGCAGTAACTCGTTTACTTTTTACGGCTTGAATCAATCGTTATATGGGGATTAAATAATAACATTTGATGTCTTATTTTTTGTTTGTGTGTGTGTGTTGTTTTGAGGTACTTGTGGGTTGAGCATGCTCTATTGTAACCGAAAGTTTATTAGATGTTAAGAAATATAGGGTTATTTTGTTTTATTGTTTATTAAGGGTAGAATAGTCTTTTCAGTTTCCTTTGTTTACCTATATATTCTCTTTGTATTTAGGTTAAATCATTCTTTTGTATGCGATTGCATTGTGCAGTATCAATGAAACCCTAGCCTCCTCTTTTTTCTTATTCTTTGGATTGTTTAACATGGTATCAAGCCAAGTTTCATGGGACGAGGCTTAATCTTAAACACAGCTTACACGATTTTTTTTTTTTTTTTGGTAGTGACTGTACAATTTCGAGAGGGTTTCATTCAGTTTCTGCAGTTTGGTATTTCGTTTTCCTTTCTTTTGAGTTTTGGTTTTCTTTGTTTTTTGATTATGGCAACTGAAAGAGACGATTCACTTTAGTCTGTGAGTGGAGTTAGATAGAAAGATTAATTCTATTGAGGTTATGTGATGTAAATTTTCTTAAGGGTAAAAAGATGTGGGGATATGTTATGGAACTTCTGTGAAACCTAGGAATACTGATGAGGTTACTGCTTTGATAGATGCCTGGAAAGCAACAATGCAAAAATTATTACTTTGGATTAACAATTCTGTTGAGCATTCTATAGGTACACAGTTGGCGAAGTATGAGACAGCAAATGAGGTTTGGGATTATCTGCAAAGGTTATTTACTCAATTAAATTTTGCAAAGCAGTATCAATTGGAGAATGACATACGAGCTCTTCAGCAGAAGAATATGAGTATTCAGGAGTTTTATTCTGCTATGACAGATCTTTGGGATCAATTGGCTCTTACAGAATCTGCAGAATTAAAGGCATGTGGTGCTTATATTACTCATAGAGAGCAGCAACTGTTGGTACAGTTTTCAAGGGCACTTTGCAGTGATTTTGAAAGACTTAGAGGTTCAATTTTGCATCATTCTCCACTTCCTTTTGTTGACTCAGTTGTCAGTGAGTTATTGGCTGAAGAAATACGTCTTAGGTCTTATTCTGAAAAGGGAATTCTTTCTACTTCTAATCCTTCTGTGTTAGCAGTACCTTTTAAGCCATTCTTTAATAATCAGATTAAGCGTTACACAAGGGCTGCCTTCGACGAGTGTAGTTTCTGTAAGCAAAAGGTGTGATTTGGGTGAGGAATACATTTCTAATAAATTTTGTGAGTTGCTTGCCTTGTGTATTCAAATTCCATCTAAGGCAGCCTTCGTGTAAGGCTTATTCTGATTATTAAAGAGTGGCTTAGAAGGTACTGCTAACACAGAAGGATTAAAAGTAGAAAGAATTCCCTTTTCAGAATAAGACTTAAGACGTATTTCTTCAGCTAATAACTCACTGACAGCTGAGTCAACATAAGGAAGTGGAGAACGATGCAAAATTGAACCTCTAAGTCCTTCAAAATCACTGTGAAGTGCCGTTAAAAACTGTACCAACCGTTGCTGCTCTCTACGAGCAATATAGGCACCACATGCCTTTAATTCTGCAGATTCTATAAGGGCCAATTGATCCCAAAGATCTGTCATAGCAGAATAAAACTCCTGAATACTCATATTCTTCTGCTGAAGAGCTCGTATGTCATTCTCCAATTGATATCGCTTTGCAAAATTTGATTGAGTAAATAACCTTTGCAGATGATCCCAAACCTCATTTGCTGTCTCATACTTCGCCAACTGTGTACCTATGGAATGCTCAACAGAATTGTTAATCCAAGTAATAATTTTTGCATTGTTTGCTTCCCAGGCATCTATCAAAGCAGCATAACCCTCATCAGTATTCCTAGGTTTCACAGAAGTTCCACTAACATATCCCCACATCTTTTTACCCTTAAGAAAATTTCTCATTACATAACTCCAATACGAATAATTCTTTCCATCTAACCTCACAGACTGAAGTGAATCGTCTCTTTCAGTAGCCATAATAAAAAAACAAAGAAAACCAGAAAGGAAAACGAAATACCAGACTGCAGAAACTGAACGAATACCCTCTCGAAATTGTATGGTCACTCCAAAAAAAAAAAATTCGCGTAAGTTGTGTTTAGACCTGGCAAAATGGGTGGGTGGGCCGGGTATGGGTCGGGTCTTCACGGGTACGGGTCTACTACAGGTCGAAATATATGGGTCCAAAATATTAGACCCGTACCCTGCCCTATATGGGTACGGGTGAACCTGCGGGTGGACCCGTTTTTCCTCTCTCCAGGTTTAGTTTATGCAGTTTCACCTTTTTGAGGAAACTAAACTCCTTAAACTAGTTTTCAGATACCCGCACAATTCATTGGCTTCTCTCACTTATTCTCTCTCTTCCTCTGAGATTGTATAATCAAAATCAGATGACCCAGAAGACACAAAATCTGAATCTGAAGGTACAACATACTTTCGCCTTTGCCGACTTGATTTGGTCTTGCTCTTTTCTCTCACAACTAGAGTATCATCAAGAAAATCACAATCTTCATCTTCATCATCATCACATATTTCTTTCCTCCTCAACCCACGAGTTCTTCTTCCTTTCTTTCCTAAAGGCTTTGCTGAGTCTGTACGTTTTCTCTTTTTTCGACCTCTAACAGAAGCCAACTTAATTGCCATTTACAGTGACAACCTGAAAATCAATTTAGAATAATGGAAGAATTGCATCTATAGGCAGTGATGGAGTTGTACTATGTGACTGAACATAATTAACACATTGAAACTTAAACTCATGTGTTGACTTGTACCCATCTTTAGAAAATTAATTTCCTAATACAGAACCCTTTTTTCTCAGACTTTTCTACCCAACTTCTTATTCTTCCTACTGTTGTTTTTCTTCTTCGTGACCATCAATTCCTCTTCATCATCCAAACAATTATCTTCATCAAGGGTAAACTCCTCATCCTCCTCTTCCTCCTCCTCTCCTTCATAATCCTCATCTTCTTCATCTCCATACAAAACCCTTTTCCTCTTTCGTGATGTTTTAGCCCCATTTCCTAAATTACTTTTTCCCGCTTTCGATCCAATAACCTTCCTCACCTCCTTCTCTTCTTCGACTTCCTCTTCCTCTTCCTCCTCCTCCTCTTCCACAAAACCACCGAAACTCACTTCCGACGCACATCCAATTGACTGATAAGAGATTGAGAGGTGGGAGAGAATGTTATGTTGAAGATTGAGAGGCAAGAGAGATGAGAGGCAGGATAGAGTTGAGCTGTTGAGTTAGGGTAGGGGGTTACGGATTTGCAAAAACGTGTACCCGCGGGTGCCCGCAAGTTCACCCATATAACCCGTTAGTTATACGGGTCGGTCCGGATACAGGTCCAAAAAAACAGGTTTAATATATTGGACTCATACCCTATATTTTTTACTCTGGTACGGGCCAACCCGCGGGTCTGAACCCGTTTTGCCAGGTCTAGCTTTGTTTAATATTAAGCCTCGTCCTATGAAACTTGGCTTTGATACCATGTTAAACAATCCAAAGAAATAAGAAAAAAAAAAGTAGCCTCCTCTTTTTTCTTATTTCTTTGGATTGTTTAACAGATGTATCTTTTCTTACTGTTTGAGATAGATGGTTCTTCACAGTTTATCATTGATGCATACATTACATAGATGATATGGTATTCATTTGTGAATTACGTCATATGTTTGCTTTCTGTAGACATGTCTTGTTCGTTGACAAATTGCATTTTACAAATGTGTAATACTCTCAATGACTAAGTTAAAGCTTTGTGTAGGTGAAGCATTGTTATGCTTTTCATTTTTCTGTCCTTTGTTCTTTATGTGCAGTCTCTAAATATCAGCATGAAGATTCTAGGAGGGCAATTATCAGGCTTGAACAGGGTGCTAATTCTTACATGCAAAGAGCCATTGCTTCTCATGGAGCATTTGCCATTTTGTGTGGCCGCTATTCAAAGCATTATATTAAGAAACCTGAGGTATTTTAAATGCTACGAACTCTTGATTTACCTTTTGTTGGCTATAATAATCTTATTCCCTGTTTTGTTTTTGTTTTTTTCTCTCTCTCTTTGCAGGGTTTCCTTTTAAATAACATTTTATTATAATAACAGTATATTAACTCATAAATTTTGAAATAGAATCGTTTCATTCTGCTGTTTTCTTGAGATCCTTCCCTTACCTTAATTTAATTATAAAATCATGACATCTGGAGCAAATAGTCACTCCCTTTGGCCTTGGCATAGTTTTGTTAGAAAGCCATGAGTTCTGGAGAACCGGTTTCTTGTTTAAACACTTACTAAATAGTCTATTCTGGAATTGGGAAACTATATAGTTATAGACTTCTTAGTGAACTGATCTAGGTTACTCGCAGTTGTTCTCATAAAATGAGCATAGTTAACTGATCACGTTTGTAAAACCTCAAGCATAGTTAACTGATCACGTTTGTAAAACCTGAAGCATAGTTAATTGATCCGTTTATAAAACTTGAAGCTAACTAAACCCCTATAAAATCCAAGGTAAGTTATATAACTCAACTTTTGTAATACAGATAGGTTCAATTTTATTCCAGACGAGTATTCTTTTATTATTAATTTTTGAATTTTGTGTAATAATTTATCATTTTTTACTGCATAGGTTTTACTTGGTAGAGGTACAGAGGATGTTGTTGTTGACATTGACTTAGGAAGAGAAGGGCGTGCAAATAAAATATCTCGACGGCAGGTGAGATTTGTTTCAGACTCACTTCATCCATGTTTTGTTTCAATGCCTTTATGCAGCTTTGTATTTATTGAATTACACTGATGCATTATGACTATGATTATGGTTATTGTAATCATTTTCTATTTCTGTCTCTTTTGTTCAACTTTCTAATCTATGAATTTATTCATATAGAACAGTCCATATGCATGGTAACAAATAGAAAATGAATTCGGACAAGCTATGTGAAATATAAATATCGACAAATATGTACGAACCTGCATCTTTTTGTTTTTATTAAAGGTGACAAAGTGTATACTTTTGTTTTTTCGTAAATCTTTCTTTCTCAATGGTATAGGCAATCATAAGTATGGACAAAGTTGGATCTTTTCATCTGAAAAATCTTGGCAAGTTTTCAATATCAGTAAATAACAAGGAAGTAGCCCCTGGACAGAGTCTGAGCCTTAATTCTGGTTGTTTGATTGAGGTTTGTTTACAGAGTTCCTTCTCAATTATGATAATGATTTTTAGATTGTAATTGCTTTATTGCAAAATATGTGAAACTTCCTGGCTTTGTGCAAGTTTTTATGTTCTCCTAGTAGTCTGTTTCTCTTGCGTTCATATTCCATTTTCCAGAAAATAACAAGTGCAAAGTTACCACTTATCAAATATGTCATGTCCAGATATAGACACAGTTCTCTTTAATTGCATCAGCATTGAACCTTATTCTATCAACTCCTGCATTAGTGCCCATATCAATAAGTGTTAGGCAGCTAGATTTTCAACCATTTCAGAATAAGCCATCAATCATGTTTATGTTACCCAATTTTGATGGTGATTTTATGGTGTTTTTTGGTGGTTGGTTATGTGTTTCTCCTGTCTCCTAATGGGTAGAATCAAATAAATGCCATTTTCTTCCACAGAATTTTTACCCTTGTATAAAAAGTCCCTTCATTTTGGTGGCAGTAGCATTAGTTTTATCTTGTTTAGGAGTATAATTTTGTCAACTTTCGATTGGATGATTTGCTCAACTCTAACCTGAGTGGGTAGGAGTTAGATTTGTGATTGTGAATATGGAATACATTAAAAACTTTAGCTCTAACATTTTTGCCATTTTCATTATCTGGTGCTGGAAATGATTTTTTTATGGGTATTTGGGAGATAGTTACACATAACGTGGTGTTGTAGAATGGAAATATGTTTGGGCATTTTGATATGTTCTAATGGGGTTTGATGATTCGACTATGTTTTCTTATATATGTACTATATATGTAGCACACATTCTATGTTTTATCCAATAATTTGATTGTCAGCAAATATGTCTGGGGGAGTCTGCTTCTAACTCTTACATCACTTGATAAAATGCTGATTGTTTTAGAAATTGCTATACTCTTTTCTATTGGGTTGCCCAAATAAAATACAGTAGAATGTTTTAGATCCATTGATGTGTAGTCATGTTAATGCCTTCATTTCATTTTTATTGTAAATGGTGAATTTGCAGATAAGGGGAATGCCATTCATATTTGAGACAAACAAAACTTTCACGAAATGGTACCTGGATAGCGTCTCCAAAGAAAAACCAAACTCATGAGCTCCAAGTTCAAATCATTGCACACGTCATGAACTAGAATGCCATCGGAAGGTGCTTATTTTTTGCTGCACTTTCTGAGTTCCTTTTGCAAGCTATGTTTGGATCTGTTATAGTATTGTGTAACTAGGTCTTTTGGATACAGGGAGAATAGGATATTTACTAATTTTACTAGGCATTTTGTATTCTATAGAGCTATTTCTTCTCTCGACTTTTGTATGCGTTTTGTTAGACATAGGTTATACTGGCAGTAGTATTGCATCACCCTCAGGGAGCTAGCCACATCTCCCTTAAAACTTCAGTCAATAGGGATATAAGAACTGAGAATACTGTTTCCAAACTTCTAGAATGTCCGGACTTGAATCATATTCTTGACTCTGGAATTACCCTCGACAGGAAATTGTAAATTGGAAAATAACGAAAGCTGAATGATATTGGGTCTTCAGAAATTGGAATTAATTGAATTATATTAAAGGTCAATATGTGGTTTCCAGGGGACCTATAAAATTTAAAGGTCACGATCAAGAGCACATGCATCTAATCTGTTGCTTATTATTGGATTTTCTTTCAAGCCATTCTCAGTCCCATTATGTCTCTCGCTGATGAATCGTCGTCAACATCACAGTCTGCCGATAGGCTTCAATAATTAAACAGATTCAGTACACCCCATATCTCAGATGGGCCCCCAATTAGAGTTATGTTTTAATCCAAATCCTATGGTCACATTAATTATATGATTTATCTAGCATCTACAGTATGAAATATATCTAAAGCGTCTTTCTCACACTCGCTCTTAACTCTCCATTCTTTGCAAGCAAAATCTTCCTTCATGCTGACAAATCTTCTAAATTCAGATCCAAAACTTCCCAGAAACTCAACTCAACAACACCACACAAATATGTCGAAACGCTCGGCTACACTAAATTTCTTCCTACTTCTTATGATCACATTTTCTGAACTGTTCTACACAGTATGTTCAAGAACCCACCCAGGCGACATAAAAGTCCTCAAAGATCTGAAGAAGGGGCTAGACCCCAGCTCCATAGCTCCTGGATCATGCTTGAGTTCATGGGACTTCTCATTGGACCCATGTGACTACCTCTTCAGTGAACACTTTACATGTGGGTTTAGGTGCGACAGAATCGTCTCCGGCGCATCACGAGTCACTGAGATCACTCTTGACCCGGTTGGATACGCGGGTTCTCTCACGTCTACCAACTGGGACCTCCCTTACGTACAAACCTTTGACATTTCAGACAACTCCTTCTCTGGCTCAGTTCCTCATTCACTCTCCAGGTTAACTCGTTTGCATCGACTCAGTCTCTCCAGAAACTCTCTTTCAGGTGAAATACCTGATTCTCTTGGGTCACTCTCTCACCTTGAAGAACTTTATCTCGATAACAACCATTTTCAGGGACTAATACCGTCAAGTTTCAACAATTTGAAGAGCTTAAAACGACTAGAAATTCAACAAAACAACATTTCCGGCGAGTTTCCTTTTCTGAGTTCACTCAAAAACTTATATTTTCTTGATGCAAGTGATAATAACTTCACTGGAAATATTCCCTCTGCATTGCCATCATCGCTCGTAGAGTTCTCGATTCGTAACAATAACTTGGAAGGAAATCTTCCAGAGAATGTGAGGGACTTGGAGTACTTACAAGTTCTTGATCTCAGCCACAACAAGTTATCTGGTCCTATAGTTTCAGTTCTGTTTGATCATCCTTCTTTACAACAACTCACTCTCTCCCACAACAACTTCACGTTTTTACAAGTTCCAAGTAACATGGGCTTAACTAGTAAGTTAATAGCTCTGGATTTAAGCTTTAACGAGCTCCAAGGTTTTTTACCAGCTTTTATGGCTTCAATGCCAAAGTTGTCAGCTCTTTCTTTGGAGCATAACAAGTTCACGGGGATGATACCATCACAGTATGCCTTGAAAGTAGCTGTTCCAGGGGGTAATACGTCGTCGTTTGAGAGGTTGTTATTGGGTGGTAATTATTTGTTCGGACCCATACCCGGTGTTTTAATGGGCATGAAACCTGGTTATGCTAATGTCAGTTTAGTGGATAACTGTTTGTATAGGTGCCCTGAAACTTTCTTCTTCTGTCAAGGTGGGAATCAGAAGTCGTTAGTTGATTGTAAGAGCTTTGCACCTATGATTCCATAAACAAATTAATCTATAATTATATGATTATGATATTTTTTGCTTTTGTCTCGTGCTTAGTTTTTGTTTCTGAGATGAGAAAAAGAACACAGGCCACCCAGCCAACGCCAGGGCAACAGTTTCTTTAAACAACTTAATTATGGAAGAAATGAAAATTTTGTTTTTAGCTGCAGATGATAAAAGATTTTGGGAGAATGTAATTCTACCATGTTGATTACTTGATTCTAGTAATCAAATGAGAAAGAATAGGTTGAGTAAATTAAAGAATTCACTGCGCTGTGCAAACCTGCAAACTTTTCTTTAATAAAGTACATACTGCTACAAAAGCCAAGTAAGTGGGTACTGGGTAGTAACATTGACAGAATCGATTTTTATAAATTATTGTTTATAGATTTTTATATATAGTTTAGGTAATCATTGTCAGAGCCTGATCAGTGTCTCTCCACTGAGATTTTCCTTCAAATTCTTTAAGGATCCTAGACCCTCCATCTTCTGTATTAAAATTATTTTAGGGAATCTGGATCCAAAACTGTGCAATTTCTTGAAATAAAATGTATGATACGAATCTCGTTACATACTAACATAACAATTAAACAATAGACAGTCAATTTGGTAAAGCCTTAGCATTAAAGGATGTTTATGAACTCCTTGCCAGCTTAAAAGACAAGCACAGAAGTTCATGAACATATTAAGTTTTACCCTCTAATATAAAAACATAGCGTAGTCAGGGATATCTTTGAAAATGAGAAGCTTCCTCTTTAAAGTGCACTGCCTCCATGTGCAATTCTCTTATGCTGCAGAAGGGTCCTTGGTGTTGATTTTGAGTTAAATGGAGGTAAAAATTGCGCGTGTAGTAATAAAAACCAAAGGGGTAGCTGAAGAGCCACATCTACTGACCCGGCCTTAATTATGAACTACCTGCCCATCTCTGACTTCGTTTTAATTAAAAAATTCAGTATTTTCAGTCAGTACATGTTAGCTTTGAAATTCCCAACTCTCATGTGATTGGTGTGCTTCAATTATTACAAAGGCCCCGATTTGCAATTTACAAAGTGAAAACAATGATCCCTGTAAAATCCGTCTGGTTAGAGTTTTTGAATAAATAAATAGATACAAATTCAGTTTACATACCCGCCCACTATAACTAAAAACATGCTTGAATAGCAGTAAACACCGTAAGTCTCAATCCCAATTGGCTTCTGCACAAAAGTCAAACAGCTTGGCCGAGACACAGCTCAAATGTATGGCAGAGTCATACGGGTCACTTGAAATGCGTGCCCAGGAACTAAAAACCGAAGTGAACCTTAATAGATAATCTGGAAAATGAGCTTCAAGATGGAAAGACAAGTCACCAAACTTTAGTATATAACTCATTTTGGGTTTTTTTTGGCAGTATTGGCACAAGCACTTTACTTGGGTTAACAAAGTTACAAAATAGCGTATGAAATGAAGCAAATATGCAAATTTTCATCATAGAAAAAATAAAAACCCTCCCTGTTTTTTATGCAATTAGAAGTGTTTGGGGCTCTGGGTTCGCTTACGGCTTCCCTGTCCTTAATGGACTTTGCTTATTGCAATATGGCTGGGCCGCTCGGGTCCTTGCTCATAAGTCATTGGAAAAGCTAAAATTTCGTGAACGTTCATTATTATTATTTTTTTAATAACAGAGATGTTTAAGCCAGTTTTATTTGTTTATGCACCTCAATTATTTTCGAGACCTTAAAATTATTATTTAGATAAAGTTTCAATGGTCACTCTCATAACACTTAGATAATCAAACTCATGCCCTCTTAAATAATACACTTATAACAACCTAGAGTCATAATTGACCACTCGATCACTCATAGTGGTTCACTTTCATTATGTCCATGAGAATTACAAAAATCCCTTGACTTTGAAAATTAGCTTTACATACACTATTGCATGTATTCTTTTAAGTTGAGCGATAATTATTTTAGTTATGTCATCTATGTACTAACCCTTGAGCTTCCTATAAAACGGAAGTGTGCTAAAGCTTGATTCCTGCTTAGTTCATTTTGTTTATTCTTATGGTTGAATTGACAGTAGTTTGTAAATTTTCAAACACGATTAAGCTGTGATGTGAAACTGCTTATCTCATCGACGCTGTGACAGCGGCGGCAGAGTGTGAAGAACTATGTTTTTCTTCTTTGGCAAACAGTTGAAAGCTTGGCGACCTCAACCAGAGCTCATGATCTTCACTACATACAGCCAGAGGAGTCAAAGAGGTGATTTGAAAGATGAACCTACTTCTAGTAGCATCCTGAGACAGACACTGCTGTTTTTCGCCTATACGCGCCTCCAATCTCTGAGTAGGTGACATTTCCCGCCCCGCCCCTGCATACATCATGTAGCCCATCCAAATGAACCAAACACCATACATCACCAATTAATTCAAAGCGTTAAAGTTCGTGTTAATTAGTTTGCTTCAGTTTTCAAAGTAGAAACGGGGTTGATAATCATGATATTGTCTCACGTTTTCAAAATGAGGTTTTAGCACATCTTAAAAATTTTAATTTCCATAAATTATAAAAAATTAATTTCCATTCTTTTGATCAATTACCACTTTTTTGTATAAAATTAATCATTTTCTGCAGTATAATTGGTTAGAACTGAAATGGCAATGATTATAATATGATTAACTGAAACAAACCTTAGAGGAGGTGAGGATAATAACCCATTTCGAAATATATCCTTAGTGTCCCTATGCATCGTAATTCCCTCACCTGATTCCAATTTCAACAACTTGGGAGTTTCAGAAGAGAACATTGTATTGTAAAGAGAGCAGAATTCACAAAATTAACAAAAGTTCTTGCTTAGAGGATATGATGAATATAATTGCACAATTAAAGATATGATCACATTTTGAGTTTCACAATTAATAATTTAGTGATAATTTTTGGTTATTCGATTGCCCAGAAATGCACCAGTTCACAGATCCAGAAACTTGGTACCCTTTACATGTTAGAAAGGTTGTGGTCCTCGTAAATTTAATTCTTGGGTGGATCAAGAATCAACGAATTCGACCAGCTTGGTCCATAACACTAAAAGCATACCAACTTACAGATCATTGCATTTGACTTCTTTAAATGATTGATTTACTTTTAAGAATTTTGGTTGAGTCATCAAGATGCTGACGAATAGATGCCTTTTTATTACCTGTCTCTTCAATTGCAGTTGCAGGTACTATAGCTAGAGCGACGACTCAGAAACATCAAGGCTTAGCCAGCTCGATTATTGGGCTCAATACATGCAGAAATTTAGGAACAAAGTTGGGAGAACTCTTGACAAAGGAAAAGACAGGCTGTTGTAGTGGGCAAGTGGAAGCTCATTGTCTGTATAAACTCCAAAGAGTAAATTTATCCAGCTCCAGCGCATCCTGTCGTATGTTCATTATTATAGTTGAAGATATGTGATAATTTTCTGGTAGCAAGTGTTTAATTTGTTCTACTTCCCTTTAGTTGATTACTGATATCCAGAATGTTGTGTTATTAATATGTCCCTGCAGGCCCACGCTTTCTCCTTCTCCCCATACTATTCCAGATAGATAATCTCAGAATTGTCCCATATGCTATATATACTCCATCAAATCATTCTTCGAATATCCAGTTTAAACCAAGCATATATACGCATCCATTGAAAAAAAAGAAATTTGACGATCAAGGCTTTGAAGTAGCTCAACATTCGCCTTACTGAATAATTTTATGACAAGATTATCAGTATCCAGTCCACCATTAGCACCCTTAGGATATAATGGCGAGCTTAATAAAGTAGTCAGGTTAATAATTTCTGGTGGTTGCAGTTAAAAATTGAGATCTTTCCATATGGAATATTCAAAAACCTTAATGAGAACTAGTCGAAGAAGACAAAATAAGGTGGTGAAATGGGGTCTCCAGTCTAATCCCTAAATCACCACAAAAAAAATCTATAAAATAATCGTTTGTGAGTTACAGGTGTCCGGTCTGTGTCGTGCCATTGTTATTATTTTATATAGAATTGTATACTCATTTTGATACGAACTGATTTAAAATATGAATAAGTAAATCATGCATAACTCCCAATAATCTCATTGGGAACACTGTTGATAACAGTTTGGCCTCCACTCTCCACTCCGCATTTGGGATGTTTTTTATTCAGTCAACATTATTGCAACTTGGCTGTGAATTTCAATTTTTATAACAGAAATTTCCAGACTCGCAACCCCAACAAGGATATAGACTTTTAATTAAATTCAATCTGTGTTAATGTATAGACTCTATTTTAAAAATCGGACCGATCTGTTGGTCGGACCGGTCCGACCGAGACCCGAAGCTTCTCCAGTTCAGTTCATGTCTTAGTAGACCTGGCAAAACGGGTGGGTGGGTCGGGTACGGGCCGGTAAAACGGGTACGGGTGAAACGGTACGGGTCTTATATGGGTCTATATACGGGTCCAATATTTTGGACCCGTGCCCTATCCTATACGGGTACTGGACCCGCGGGTGGACCCATTTTTTCTCTCTCCAATTTCAGTTTTGACAGTTTCACCCCTAACAGTTTTCAATTATACAATTACATACACCCCCAAAATTCCTGCAGTTTTAATTTTTTACATTTACACCCCCTAAATCAACTACTCTAAATTCAATTCAATTAAAAATATAAACAAATATGAACCAAATAAAACAAATAACACATAAACAAACATAATATATAATACAAAACTACAAATACCAACCAAAACAAACAAAATACAAATCACTAATACACAATTACACATAAACAACCAAATAAGTCAATAACTATAAATACAATTAAATAAACAAATACATAATCCAATATTCAACAAAAAACATCTTAGGACAACAAATGTTCATTCCACGGGCGTGAGTAGTCTCTTGATTCCACGGTCTCGAGTCAATCAATGGCACATCAAGATCATCATCTGAATCACTTTCACCTCATCATCTACAAACAATGATCAACTACAAATATTAAAATGTAAAT